GCAAAGCCTAGAATAGTATTCTCGTCTGCAAACTAAATTCCATGCCAAAAGATTGTTACCATGGCAAAACCACCCTCAGGGATATATTCTGCAGCTTTTGTATCTAGAAATCATTTATAAATTTCTAAAAGGATTACTAAATGGGAGGCAAGAAATCTAATTCAAAGCTTCCCAAGTGGTTGTTCACCTCAGGTATGGTGCACCAGCAGGTACGTCAAAGCAAGGATTTAGACTTCCTCACTCCAATGTGGTAGCCACTAGCACATACAGCTATATAAATTCAAATGGATTAAATAAACTAAAAAGAGAAGCCCCCATTCATACTGGCGAGACTTCTGGTGCTCAGTAGTCACATGTGGCTGGTAGCTTACTACACTGGTCAGGGCTGATATAGAACTCTGCCAACACTGCAGAATTCGATTGGATAGCACTGCTCTAGAAAGTGGAATGATGAAGTAAGTAATTTTATTGTTGCAGTAGCATGGAAAGAATATTGGCTTCGAAGCCCAAGAGATCTATATTTGAATTTTGGCTTATTACTCTTAAACAAGTTTCTAAACTCCTCTGAGCTGCTTGTTTCCTTAATCTTAAGTTGGGGATCAGAAATAAGGTGCTGGGAACATCACTACTGCCAAATAACTACAGAATTTGCAACTTCCCCATTTTTCACTGTAGCTCTATTGAGGTCTTGGAGCTACCAAAGGGCCCTTACACAAAAATATACTGTTTCCAAAAGATTCAAGTTAATCACCAAACCTATTGCCTTGGTTAATATAAACGTTTTCTTTGTAAGTGCTGATGTAAACACTTTCTTTGTATATTTTACCTTTTTTGTGTGTGTGTATGGGCACTTTGTCTAAGTAACAACCAAAAAACCAAATCAACAATTGAGAATTAGAAGAAGTTATAGTTTAGTGTTCTATTATATTAGCTCTAAAAACTATCTCAAATTAAAGATGTATATCAAGATGTAACTTGAATAAAATGGGTCAGGTGTGTTGGTGGTATTTCCCACAAGAGAACAGCAGAAGAGCAGCTACAGAATTAGGTATAATTACTGTATGCATTAATCGGATATTAACTAACTTTTTATTTAAAGACCAAATCCCTAAACAACTTAATAGCTTGCTGACCTGACACAACTATTCTTCACCTTTAATTCTAGGTAGACAAAACACACACTCAAGAGAGGCCGTAACACTTACAGATTCACCTGTCCTTTCTCCCTGATGTAGCTATACTTCTCAATACTTTCCCTGATCGAGTGACTGGATTAAGTGAGTTTTCTGTTCAACTAAGGAAATCTTTTTTTCAATTCTGTTGAAAATCTTTCTAGGGTAGCTCCTGTGGCTCAGTGGGTAGGGTGCTGGCCCCATATACTGAGGGTGGCAGGTTCAGACCCGGCCCTGGCCAAACTGCAACAAAAACAAAAACAAAAAACAAACAAACAAAAAAAAAAAACAAAAGAAAAGAAAAAGAAAAAAGAAAGTCTTTCTAAAATAAAATACATTAGTTCACTTTCTCCTCAAGAATATTCAAATGAACATAATAAATATTAATAATTTAAGGTTTAATTGTAACAATTTAATCTATGATACTATAGTGAGGTTAAAGTTGTAAAATATTGACTTTTTTTTTTTTTTTTTTGGTTGAGACAGAGTCCCACCCTACACCCCTGAGGACAGTGCAGTGGCTTGGTAGCTTACTGCAACCTCAGACTCCGGCTTGTGGGCATCCTGCTGCCTCAGCCTCCGGAAGCCACTGGGATTACAGGTGCCCGGCTGGGTTTTTCCATTTTTTTCATGAGTCGGATCTCACTCTCACCCAGCCAAGTCTTGGACTCCTGAGCTCAAGCAATTCTCCCTCCTCAGCCTCTCACAGTGCTGGGATTACAGGCGTGAGCCACCATGCCCGGTAATATTGACATTTTTAAGTTGAATCCAGGTATCTAGGTAACTATAGATTATCTGCTAGATTTTCACAAAATAAAGCCTAATACTAGCTTATTTTCTTAAAATTTGCCTTCATTTCTTCCATAAATGGATTATAGAAATACTGCCCAATAATTGAAGCTGATTGGTAAGATTTTATTTAATCAAGGTTCAATTATATTTGTGTTATGTCACACTTTCAGTTTCTTCCCTCCTTTCCCTTTTGTGTTTTTGAAACAGAGCCTCATTTTGTTACCCCCAGCTGTGGTGTCGGCCTAGCTCACAGCAACCTTAAACTCCTCAGCTCAAGCAATCCTGCTGGCCATAGCCTCCCAAGTAGGTGCCAGACACAGCCTCTATTTTTAGTAGAGACAGGGTCTTTTTCTTGCTCAGGTTGGTCTTGAATTCTTGAGCTTAAGGGATCCTCCTACCTTGGCCTCCAGGGTGCTAAGATGATAGGCATACGCCACTGTACTTGGCCTCTTATTTTTTGCAGGAAGATAAGAGTTTCACTCTATTGCCCTGCCTAGAGTGCAGTGGGGTCATCACACCTAACTGGAACCTCAAACTCCTGGGCTCAAGTGACTCTCCTACCTCAGCCTCCTGAGTAGCTGGGACTCAAGGAGTATGCCACCACATCTGGCTATTTTTTCTATTTTTTATAAACACAGGGTCTCACTCTTGCTCAGGCTGGTCTTGAACTGAGATCAAGCAATGCTCCTATCTTGGGCTCCCAGTGTTCTAGGATTACAGGTGTGACCCACTGTGCTTGGCCATACTTTCAATTTCACAGGGCCTTTTACTTGTGAAAGAAATAAAATACAATTCATTTTAGGCTTATGCTAAATGGTAATTAGGTCCATGGGTATCAAAAATTTTCCTTATTGACTACTTTAATAATCAAACTTTTCTTTCTTTCTTTTTTTTTTTTTTGAGACAGAGTCTTACTATGTCACCCTCAATAGAGTGCTGTGGTGTCACAGCTCACAGCAACCTCAAACTCTTGGGCTTAAGTAATTCTCTTGCCTCAGACTCCCAAGTAGCTGGGACAACAGACGCCTGCCACAATGCCCGGCTATTTTATTTTTTTCGTTGTTGTTGTAATTGTTTAGCAGGCAACCCGCCACCTTCAGTTTATGTGGCCAGCACCCTGCCAACTGAACTACGGGCACCGCCAATCAAACTTTTTTTTTTTTGGAGACAGAGCCTCAAGCTGTCGCCCTGGGTAGAGTGCTATGGCATCACAGCTCACAGCAACTTCCAACTCCTCGGCTCAAGTGAGTCTCCTGCCTCTGCC